ACCTTCCGCACCCGCAGCACCCTCGGCAGGACCGCGGTCCCGCCGGGAGACGTGCCACGCGCGACCCGCAGCAGAGGCTGCGGTGTCCCCCGGTCTGTGCTGGAGGCACGTCCCGCAGGGGTACGGGAGGGCTCGGGGTACGGCGAGACTGGCCCCTGCGTGGGGCCCGTCTTCCCACTGAGCTGCAGAGCCGGGCTGCAGGAATCTGCAGGAACAGCTGCGGGGGGGGAACACCTATTTGTTTCTTTAGCCTAAGGAAATTTGCTTTAAAATAACCTCTGATTTGGTGTGTTTTCTCCCCTGCTACCATACCTTGACATAACTAGTACTAAACTTGAGTAAAAAACCAAAAACTTTACCATCAGTTAAATAAAGTGGGGGGAACTAACTTGATTTAAAGATTAAAAAAAAGAAGTTGCCTGGTCTAGACAGCACTAGCTAAATGTAGCCTCCCATATACAACATGGTTGATCTGAAGCAGCTGCAGTGATTCACAACACAGAACTAAGGTATGGCTGTCCACCCACAAAGCAAGTACATAAAATTGTTTCATAGCTGATCCACAAAAATCAAGGATTTTCTGCTCTGTGTAAACAAGGCTTGCAGATTGAGCACACTTCAAAATTAATTTTCATTTCAGTACAGAAACAGCCTGCTGCAGAAATGTGTACACACAGTACAAGACCTTGCAAGCCCACACAGTCAATACCACCCCGCTTAACCAGGATCACCACAGTATCCTACTGCATGTCAGCATCTGTACTTGAGTTACTTCCCAAGGCATGGGTTCTCTCTTTTAATCTCTCTGAGACTTGGGAAATTCACATCTTTAAACAAGAGAGGCAACTACCTCATTCTCAAAGTCCAGGGCAGAAAAGCATTCTGTTGATTCTTTCAAACTAGAAATTCCTGTCATAACTCGCTAAGACCTTCTTTTGCCCATAGCTTTCCCTCCCCTACCCAGTGAACTATTTCACATTGTTGCATATTTTCAAGAAGACATGCCAGCAGCAGGATAGAAGAAGGGTAAGAAAAACCTCTCAGGCACTAGAGTACCACTGGTAACCAGCTCTGCCCTGTGACTGTACCAGCCCTAGCACTCCAACAGTTGGCAGACCATTAGTTTATACAGTTCTTATCTCATGGTCATTTGGTTTCAAACCCAAACTAAATAAGTCACAACTCCACCCACCTGTATTTAGTGCAAATGCTTCAGACGTTTTTCTGAGTGAATCAACATGTCTCTTTATCAGCAAGAAAGGAGATTTACCACATTTATCATCACTTGTAAAAGTCAAGTGTCTTGAAACAGAATACCAAGAAGAATTCAGCTAATAAGAAGTATTTCTGAAGTGAGAAGGGGAAAGCCTTGTGAGATGCAGGGTAGTATGGAAATATTACACCCTGAATACATTATGTGTGCACCATCTTCAGGCACACTGCTCAGTTGTGTTCAAAATTAGTGGCAACATTCCCCATAAGCATTGGTGGAGTAAGATCAGTTCCAGAGTTTTGCACTGCAGGTAGGAATTCCCCCAGAGTGCACACTAGGGATTACAGTGCGGGATCACCATGAGACATTTGCCATCTAGATGGAAAAGGCAGCGTGATGGAGTGCAGAGGCCAGCAGTGGGTGATGGAGAAGCCTAGGAGAGCAGGGGGACAGACTGCACGCCTGGTCAGAGGGCTGGCACTGGGCTCTCCACTGAGGCACTGCAGTGCTCTAATCCC